GTGTTTCTTCTTGTGTCCTTTTGGCAAGAACCTAGCCATGGGGACAAACTTGGTCGTAAGGGTGTATGTGAAATGTAGCCTTTAGGTAGGTGGTTATGTGGCCAGGAAGGAGGAAAAAAGAAAGATTGTGGGGTGAGGGGTCAGGGCAGGGAGAGAAGCAACCAGCAGCCTGTCACAGGCACTTATGTTAAGAAGACCTACTGGGTCTCTTCCTGTTCTGTAACAAGTTTCCTTTATTCTGAGAATGGGAAAACAAATTTCCAAAATCAATTGGACAAAATAGACAGAAGAAAAGTATCAACTGAGACCTTTATTTTGACTATTTGTCTCTGTAAAGATCAGCCCTTATTCTCCTGGTATCATTCACCATTTCACTATTTAACATTTATCTTGTTTGCTGTAGCAAAACTGGAAGATGACAGTAGTCTGTCATATTCTAAAATCATACAAGAATAATTATTGACAAGATTAAGAATATATTTAGAATTCAGAATATATGTATATTTAGAATCTAGAATGTGTGTGTGTGTGTGTGTGTGTGTGTGTGTCTGTATAATTCTAGACCACTAACTTGTACAATCTTGAGAAAATTTCTGAACCTTGCCCTCCTCAAGTATAAAAGGAAGCTATAGGAGAATATGCTATCTGAGGTAAATTCCAGATTGAAAAGATTTTGTATTATGTTGGACATAGAGAGATTTAAATGAAATTTCCATCCTCCAAAACTATGAAGACTTTTCCCAACAAATGGATTTATACTATAAACCTATTCTCAGGCATTTGAGATAAGACTTCACTGCAGAAGACTTTGGAGCAAACTGACCAGTAGGAGAGAAAGGTAGTTATAACGGGCATTTGAGCATTTCTGATTGGAGGACAAGAAATCTTTCTGACTTTTACAAGTAATCAACAAATGCCTTAGAGCATGAGATTAGATAACACTTAGCATGATTATAGCTACATAAGTATAATATTGTTAATGGCCGTAAAATTACCTAGCCCTTAAAAAAATCCAGTGAAAATATTTGGTTCCATGACCTCCTAAGGCTGAATCATTTGTATTAAAGATTCATGACATAAAGTACAAGATGTTACCTTTTTATTTGTTCCAGAATGATTGCCCTCTGATTTTTCATACATGGCCTTTTGTTCTTGTGTTAAAGGAGTATCAATACTGTCAGTTTAACTCTGCAGAATTAATATGATCTTTAGCTTTCTTAATATCTAAGCTGAACATAGCTGCTTTATACTTCCAAGGTTGCCTTTGAGGACCTACCCTTCAGTGGAACTTCCTGCCTTCCTTTAGGACAGTAGTTGGCCAGGAAATCCCTGTGGATCTGTGACTATTCAGAACTGCTAGACTGAAATGCCATTTTGAAAACTACAGCTCTTCCGCTAAACAATTTTTCTAGGAACATTGCCATATCACTAGCTACTCGGCTTTGCCAAAAGTCAATACTCCTCCAATGGTCCTGGCTCTGGGAATGATACCAAATGATGGTTCAAGCTGGGGATAGGCAGTAAATCAGCAGTAAAAGCTGAAAAATACCACGGCTCTTAATATCTTTTCTCTTTTTTCCAGATGACTGGCCTATCTCTCTCACCTTCTGCTTCTATTCATGAAAGACCTCCTTCCTCCCCTTCATTTGTGGTTTGATAGTTGTATTTTTATTTTGCATGGCCTTCCTCAATTGTGAGAGATAAATTCACACCTTTCAAAGCTAATGCAACCAAATTTCCATGTGACTTGTAAGAAATGTAGTCTTTCTTTAGCACTCACATGCAATTGTGTGATGCCTGATAGATTAGGATTGTTTGTTGAACAAAGTGTCAGACAGGAGGATGGGAGCCAAGAGAGGGTTTCAAAGCAGCAGCAGAAGGTAGCTTCACCGAATTTCCACTCCGGTTGAAGGCTGCCTTCTGGTCTCTGTTCCAGCCTTTCTGGAATCTGAAGCAGCGAGCTGTTTTAAATTCTTTGGGTCAGGAAAGTCTACATTTGTGGCCTGCCTTTGGAAATGTATTAAAAAAAAAACAAAAACAAAAACCTATCCTTGGAGATAACATCTAGGAGGTATTTTTTGGATGTGGAAATTTAAGTCGTCTGCTTCTATTTTGCATTTCTTTAAAAAGACTTATTTAGCTGGCTAACAGTCTTTCTTTCAAATACTTTTTTTCTTTCTTGATGAATCATTTGTCTTCCCTCTTCCCTTTCTCTTTCCCTTCTTCTTTTTTTCCTTATGCACTTTCCCCTTTCTCCCTCATTTCAAATTTATTTGCCTGGGGTAGAGCATATTGTATATATACAAACTTAATGGCTGCCCCTAGTTAGCTCTGGGCTTACTATTGGGCTGTTAGTTCCTCATTTATATTCAGTGTCAGAGATGCAGAAGTTATTTCCCTTTCAAGAAAACTCATATTTAAGAACTGACCCTCATCTCTTTGTTTCAGCTATTATGCCTTGGTATTCTTTAATATGTTTTTGGATATTTGACTTAAGAAGGAAGCAGCTAGCCTTGTCTATTGTGTTTTCCACTGTACCCTAGTACCTTGAACAATGACTGACAAATATTAGGATCTCTCTCCCTCTCTCTTTCTATATATCTTTTCATAATGATCCTAATGTCAAACAAACAAATCATAGAGAAAAGAAGAGCTGTATATTGAAGAGTATCCTGTTGGTCTGGCCAGGACTGAGTTTTGACTCTTTTGGTCAGAGAATGTTTATCCAGAAATGTGGTCAACTTCTGAGTTCAACTCAGCTTTGGGTCTCCTTGACCATGGAAATGTTTTCTTGTATTTTTCCTGTTGGAATTTCATTCAATATTCTATCTTTGTTTCTACTTTAGAAAATATGCCATGTGAATAATGATGCCTCAGGCAAAGAAATTACTCTAGTAGTACAATTTAAACTCAGGGCAAATCCTGCCCTCACTTGCATTTGCAATTTGCAGTGCAGTCAGTAAGAATTGGGCCCACACATGAACTGACAGAATTGGAACTCCAAGGTTAGCAATTATTAAAGTTTAAAAGTCCATTAATTCATTTTCAAAATATTTTATTTAGTTGTTTCTGAGGCAGAATTCTGAACTGCCTTCCCTCTAGTTGCTACTATAGTAGTATCCAACTCTGAGGGGAGCTCCAACTCTAAATGTCCTCATTGTTCAATGTACAAGATGAGAACAAAACCAGACTGTAAAGTCAATCTTACTGCCTTAGTGGAGTAAAAATTAGAAGTCAATGATTCTCTTACCATCAAAGAGAACTTAAATTCAACAGAATTTTTTTAAGTGGTATTGTGTGAAAAATTTGGAAAATATGATCATTATGTAAAAAAAAAATGAAAGGGATATATAAATAACTTATTCTGCAAAAGCCTGTAACTTTCCCATATTATTTTGGAATCCTAAAATGAAATTTACATGTTTTGGTGGAATTGACAAGGTATCAGAAATGGCCTTTTGCAGTGGAAATAAGCACACAGGGCTTTCTTCTATCTTATAATAGTGAATTAATGTAGAATAAATGAGAAAAACTTCACGGAACAATGTGGTAAAATTAGACTAAGTATTAAGACAAAAAATTTAAAAATGGCTAATAGCGAAAGGTGTCCATATTTATTATGTATGTAATCATTTGTTAGCTTATTGTAGTAGCATCTTTTGTAAATTAAATAACAAGCCTCATCACACCCATAAATAAGGAAGGAAAGCAAAGAGAATATTTTTAATAGGTACATGGCACCACACCCATCTAACATGCAGCAATGAAGGAAAACCAGACCGGCGACCCGTGTGTGGAATATGTACTGAGTGTAATCATCGGGAGGGGGATGGTTTTTTTTTTTTTTTTTTTTTTTGTTTGTTGTTTGTTTCTGCAGCTGAAAGGGACAGCGATCCTACCTCTTTTGATCATAGATGTTGAATATGACGAGGGAAGTTTTGGCTTCGTCCCTTCCTTTCTCCAAGAGATAAGAGTCTTAAAAGCCTGTAGCTCTCCCGGTCCTAAAGGAGTGTGCAAAGGGAGGGAAAATAAGCGGCGTGGGTGAGGGGTGGCGGAGCAGAACCCAGCAAGAGCTGAGAGGCGCTAGCCAGCCTCTGCCCGGAGGGCGTGGATCCCAGCGCAAGCCAGAACAGGTCGGGCGTTCTCGCGGCCACCGCCAGCGGCGGGAGGGGTGGGGCGGGATCTCAGCCGGCAGACCCGCGTGTGGATCAGCTGCAAGCGGCCGGCAGTAAACTCCCTTGGTTCGGCTCGGAGCTTCTGGACACCGCACGTCCCTCTCCCGCAGCAAGTCAGCTAGAGGGAGAAGTTTCCCTGGGGGAAGGTACGGAACAGATCCAAAGCCAAAGACAGCTCAGGTGTGTCTGGGTGGGGGTTAATTCGCATCTGTTTTGCTAGCCCTACGGCTCCTCCCAGTTCTAGGGGTAGCCAACTCTTTGGGCGTGATGGAAGGCGGATTAAGGGTTTGCTGCTGGGAGGGGTCAGCTCACTGTGGATAGGAGATGGTGCGCATTCAGGGCTCCATCCTTGCCTAAAGTGGGGTGGTCCCGGGTCCCTCAGCCCTAACCCGGGAAGAGACGCCCCCTTTCCCAGCCCCGCCCCCTGGTGGCTGAGTCTGGATTCAAACACAGCCCGGTATCGGCCGGGTAGACTGAACCCGCTACACGAATCCTCCAGCTCCCACTTTCTCCGCGTGGTTACGGGTAGGTTAACCTATGTCTTTTCTCCAGCAATCACCGCCCCCCCGCCCCGCGCCCCCGACCCTCTGGCGAGCATTCCAAACCCTCCTGGAGATGGCAGCCCTCTCTCCAGTAGGGGGTCTGAGGTCTACCAGGGTTTGGGGTCAGTTCTGGTGGCTCTCCTCCCTGCCCCTGACCATCTTTTGGGTCGTAGGGCTATATTCTTTCCCGCACCCCACCCCGCCCCTATCTTGCTCCCATTCTCAGGGGAGGATTCCAGGTACTGGTTGGGGTTCGGTATACGCTGCCACCTTGAAAACGGAAATCTGTAGACAGCAGGTTGTGGGGGGCGGGGGGACGGCAAGAAAAGGGGAGGTTTCGGAGTTCCACCGTGGGGGCTAGAGGCCAGGCCGGGGGCGTGGTTGCCATGGCTCCTTGGTAGCTGAGCTGGGGGAGCTAGAGATGCCAGTCACGGATGGTCCCTTCTTCTTTGTGCCTCTCTCTCCTTTTTTTTTTTTTTTTTTTTTTTGAGTGAGTGAGAGTGTGCGTGGGGAGGGAGAAAGTGATTAATTTGGAGAGCAGGGATTGGAGCCTGGAGGCTGGGAGGCTGGGGAACGCCGGCCCCTTGATTCCCACTCCTCTTGCGCGCCGGGTGAGCAGCACTTTCTCAGTCAGGGGCTGGGCTGAGGAATTCCTGCGAAAACCCAAGGGCCGAAGAAGCCGCTGTCGCGCGGGCCCAGGTACCCACGCCCGGAACCGCGCCTTGGGGCGAGCGCGCGGTGGGTGGTCCGTCTGTCAGCTAGGAAGGCGGGCAGGGGAGGGGGTGGACGGCGAGCGGCGGAGGGCAGGTGTCTAGTGGCACAGCAGGGCGGCGCGACGGGGAGGGAGCCCCGCGGCTCAGCCCTGGGCTAGGGGCGCTGGGGTTCGGCCCCGCCCTTGCAAGCCTCCGAGGAGCCCCCGGACCCGGCAAGTGGCCCCCCCTGGGCACGCGCGTGCGCGACGGCGCGCTCTCTGGAACGCCCGTGGTGGCTGTGGGGGGCATGTGCGCGTGCGCGCGGAGGTGGGCAACTGGTGAGCCACCTGGGCTCGCTCGAGGCAGTCTCTCGAGGCTCCCAGGTGGGTTTTATTTGCAGCTCCGGCGTCTCCGTGATGTGTGATTTTGGGCAGGCCGTTTAACTACTCCGTGCCTCGGTTTCCCCTTTTAAATAATAGCGGTAATATCATGCCTTGCTTATTAGGTTTTTTCAGGACTGGAATGAGATAATCCAAGAAGGCAGTTTAGTTTCGTGTTTATGCTTAATAAACACCCTAAGTTACTTATGGTTGCTGATGGCGTTACTGTTATTATTAACTAATCCTCAATTTAATTAGATACGGTGCATTCTCATTTCTTCGCATCTTTATATAAGGCAAAATACTGTTTTCGAATTTTGAAGAATATCAGTGGATATTAAATATTACTGCCCCGTACAACTCCTACATAGCTCTGGATTGCAGCAGATTGGAAGATAGGAATTGACCAACTGCTGGTCATGTTGGCTTGTCAGTACATGGACGGAGAGAGAAGCTTAGAAAGCTATTTGGGGAAACTTAGTGATAAGGTGGGGACAAAAGAGTTTATTCTGCAGCTTTGTGCATGAGACTCTATTTCCTCTTTCACAGGCTGATGTTCCAGTTAGGTTTGTTTTAATTTCAGTGTTTTGTGACGAACCACCCTATGGCTTTCATAACTGAACTTGGTTCTAGAGTCTAGTGTTTAACCCAGGTTTCCATTTTATGGCCTTAAGTGCTGTGGTGTATTTACCTCTAGTAAAGGCAGAGGATAGTGTATAATCATTCCTCCAGAGCTCCTGAATATTGTGAGGGAATAAATGGAGACAAATAGTTATTTCTTGGCAGGTGTGAGTTCTGGCTATGGCAGTTCATTAAACATATCTTTCTGGGCATGTTTTTACCCACATCACTGCAGAAGAGTAGGACTGTGATAAATAATTAATACATGTTTTTTATATTGTTCTCTTATATTGCATCTATGCTTATGGGTCCTTTAGAGGAAAGACTGCAGGTGTTTATTGCTACCTCATGGTTTTATTATGTGCTCCAGCTTACCTGGTGATGAGCAAAACATCCATGGACCTAATTGTAATAATGACAGGATTTGATATTGCCCATAATGTATTTATTACCTTTAAATAACTAATCCTGTTTGCTGGATTGGTTTTAAGTACAGTTTAAAAATATCATTTGCTTATTAAAATGTAGTCATGTCTTGGTGGATCTGAAGCAAATAAAACTGGACATATGTTCCCATCACAAAGTTCCTTAAGACTTTTACAAAATAGACCTGACTTCAGAAAATATTTGCTGGATAAGATATAGCTTACTTTTGAAAATTTTGAAGATAGGTTGTTTGACCCAAAATTGCTTTGTTGAAATAATTCGTCTGGTTCATTTTTTAAATGGAGAATTAAGAGTAATGATCAAGACTGATTTATGATTCTGCTAGGTTTTGTTGTTGCTGTTTTTAATTTCATAAAGGAAAATTAAGTAATAGAGGGGGCTGGATGGCTTCAGATTTGAAGGAATGAGTGTCAGGAAGCCCTGTGAATATCAATTCAGATAGTAGAGTATTGCTTTAAGTTTGACTTTTGCATGACAACACTCCCTTCTTCACAGTGAATATGTCATCTTTAAAAGGTACCTTGAGGAATTAGTGTGACAGCTTGCCTGAAATTCATGTGATCATTTACATATTGTTTCCCAGGAGCATTGGCATTAAATGTTTCGTTTGTTGGAAATTATTTTGCCCTTTGATTTATCACAGCCAACAGTGCCATGGAGTCTAATACATTTTAGAAACAAAAATTTAGCTTTTCACTCTTTTGTATTTTCCCCAGAAAATCTAAGCAGTAACACACATGGAAAACTTCAGTTAGGCCAAAGACAAAGGGTGACATAGAAAACCGTGACAGATCTGGAGGAACTGCCTCCTGAATTTGGGGAGCTAATTGACATGCAAAGGTATAAGCTAGAGGAGGAAGTTGTCTCTATACTAAGGCTGTTTTCAGTGATGTGCTGTATTATCTGATTCAATCAGTGTTGCTTGTTATTTTTTCAAACCGCGACTGAGAATACTGTATTTTCAATTATGAACATTTTGATTACAGCTTCATTGTAACTAATTCAGTCTGAAGAGAATGCAATTATTATGGTGATTTACATACAATATGCTAAGTTAACACAGCTAATGAGTGAAAGCATAATATTCTTTCTATTCATTCCTGGAAAAATATTGTGCTAAGCATTCTTTCAAAGAAAAGATTACATTATTCACCAGCATTTTATGTCTACCTACAAGTAGAATTGGCATTGAGCCATTTTTTCTGCTACTGAAGTGAAATCTCTCACATTTTGGCGACCATGCCTCTCCCCCTCTTGGGGTGCGAAGGAGAATGGAAACAGTTCCCAATTTAATTAGATATGGTGCTTTCTCCTTTCTCTACATCTTTATTGGAGGAAAGATTCTGTATTTTCTAATTTTGGAGGCTGGTTAACACCTTAAACATTACTAATTACTGCAGTTTATTGTATGTGTGTCGCAATAGTGTAGTTAGTTAATTATAGCTTTCTCATTAGCACCATGTAGAGAATAATGAATTAACACATTGCTTTGATCGAAAGAACATCTAAGTTTATCTTCTGAGAATAAAAGTGTTATTGTGTTACCGAAAGTCACTATAATTTTCCCAAGAAACAAATTGGTTGGAATTCTCTAGCACTAGGATAGGAAGCTTGATGAATGAGTTGGATTGATCACAAACAAGAGGGAGTAGAGCTGTGGTTGCTTGGCAACCTAACATTATTCTGCAATTTCTTCTGGTATATTTATCCAGTAAACTAGAAAATTCTGTTTTGTTAACGAATGTTTTTAGTCAGTGCACAAATAGACCATAACTAATTGAGATTTTATGTATTGTGGATAAAAAACGATCCTACTTACCTTCCTATTGTGTTTAGATAATAAAAACACAAAGAGAATGCATATTCTGTTTTCAGTTTTTAAAATTTTCTGTGAAAAAATGTTATTTTCATTTTCATATTAGCTTGTTCCTATCAAGAGATTACAACTTGTTTATCTCCTTGGAAATCAAATTATTAGGAATTTGTTTGTGTTTATGGGTATATTTATATATAATTTTTCATTTATACAAAATTTATATGTATATTTATACATAATTTTTCTATAAAAATCAGAGAGTTTGAACTGAGATGAATTCTTCAGAAATTGTGGTTTGCTGGTTGAACTGACAATGTAGGTAAATTTAATAAAAGGTGTAGATATCCAATCCAAATGATGCTGGCAGATGATGGTAATAATAAATGTATTGAATATGGCAACTATATAAATGTACTCTCTTTAAGCAGGGTTTCTTTTCCTGGTGTTCTTAATTATTCTCCTTTCTGATGTTTGGGTGCATCTTGTTTTCCCCATAGTTGCAAAGTAGGAGCATCAGCTGCCCATCTTCTAATCCAACTCTTCCTAACTCCAGGGACTACAGTGTACCACTTTCCTATCTAACCTGGAATTTTCATGTGCATGAAAATTCCCTGCTCATATCTTAACATTCTTGAGGGCACACATTCTGTTTTATGCATCTCATAAACCTTATATTGTCTGGCACAGTGGGAAGCAAACTGGTGTACTGGCTATAGTAATCAGGCTGCCTGGGTACCAAATCAGAGTCTGCTAACTCCTTGGTGTATGAGCTTGGCTACGTCATTTTAATTGAACACTGATTTCTTCTATGGAGTGGAGGTTAATATCCATGCCCAGCTTGTGTGCATTATTGTGAACGCTATATGGGGCAAGTTTTATAGACAGCTTAGTAGAACTTACTAAGCACTCAAAAAATTCTGGCTTTTGGGTGCCTGGGTGGCTAAGTGGGTTGAGCCTCTGCCTTTGGCTCGGGTCAGGATCCTGGGGTCCTGAGATCGAGCCCCACATCAGGCTCTCTGCTCGGCGGGGAGCCCCTTCCCCCCCTCTCTCTTCCTGCCTCTCTGCCAACTTGTGATCTCTGTCAAATAAATAGATAAAACCTTAAAAAAAAATTCTGGCTTTTAATTATAATAATTATCCATCTATTCCATATCTATTCCATATTCAATGTATGAATGGATAAAGATAGGTGTGTGGTGTGTGTGTATCCCTATGCATGTGAATAAGTGTGTATCATCATCATGGCACAATCAAATGGAAAATTCTTGATACCTATGTCAGTCATGCACACATATAATAGTAGTGATTGTCCCATGTATTTGAAAGATCCCAAGAGTACTTACTGGTTCTCAGGTTGCACTGCAAGGAGAATCACCTGTAGAGCCTTTTAAAAATTAAAGCCTCTGCCTTCGGCTCAGGTCATGATCCCAGGGTCCTCGGATCGAGCCCCAAATCACGCTCTCTGCTCAGCGGGGAGTCTGCTTCCCCTCTCCCTCTCTGCCTGCCTCTCCGCCTACTTGTGATTTCTGTCTGTCAAATAAATAATTAAAATCTTAAAAAAAAAATACCAACCCAGATGAATTCCATCAGAATCCCTGGGGATGGTGACTAAGACTTGTGGATTTTTTTAAAGCTTCTGGTGAGAGTAATGTACCTGGGAGGGTGAGGACCTCCAACTTAGATTGGGGTAGATGTTCTTGAAGATCATGTTGGCCTGAGGCATTGACTTGCAGTTACCTTGGT